GGGGCAGAAGGGGTCTGACAGACCCTGGCGCCTTCTGTCCATTTCCGCCGCAGTTTGTGTTTCACGGTTAAACCTCCCCCCGGGGCCGGCTGTGGCTGGGGGACGGTGTCTCACAGGCGGTGATGTTCCCTAAGCTCGCAGCCCTTTGGGAGTGGGGGGTGAGGGGGGAAACATTGCTGGATGGTGGCAGAGGCCGGCTCCCTTGTCTGCTTGTGGGTCTTGGCAGGCTGTAGCCAGCCCTGAGGTTTCAGAGGTGCTGCTGGGTGGAGCTCTGGTGGGCCCGGGTGTTAAAAGGCTGGGAAATGACATCCCCCCACCCGGGTGTTAAAAGGCTGGGAAATGACTTCTCCCCCCCCCCCCGCCGCGGTGTTAAAAGGCTGGGAACTGACATGGCGCCCCCCCCCCCCCACCATGGGTGTCCTCTCTAAAGTGACTCCAACCTCCCTGAAAATCCCTGTATTCCAGCTTTTTGACCTCTAACTGGTCCCTGAATTCTGTCAGATCTTTATCATGAGAGAGGTAATGTCATCCCTCTGGATGTCTGATTCTGCTGTTTCAGTTGATAATGTTATTTAGTAATTTACTGTTCTGAGGAGGGGTCACTCAACCTGAAACGTTAACTCTGATTTCTCTCCACAGATGCTGTCAGACCTGCTGAGCTTCTCCAGCAATTTCTAATTTTGTCTGTTATTGAGTAAACTCAGTTAGAGTATACCTGAGTGCATCATGTATAATTGAGGATCAGAGACCCCCTCCTCCTAATGTCATTCTGTGTGGAACCTTCTAGAAACATGTCTGATAACAAGGAACGAACCTTCATTGCTGTGAAGCCAGATGGAGTCCAGAGGAGCATTGTGGGTGAAGTCATCAAACGCTTTGAACAGAAAGGATTTAAACTGGTTGCCATGAAATTTCTTCAGGTATGAGAGTCAGGAGCTTAGTGTAAACCACATTAGTAATTAATATTTGGATGATCTTAGTTTTTAATGTTTTATTTGAGGGAGTGAAAGTTTGACCTAATTGTGTTCTTTTTGGCCATCAAACCCCTGACAGTTATTGGCTACTATCTTGGTTTCTGGCTGATTCAGACTCCATTTCATGTTACTTAGTAAACTATTGATGGAATATTAACACATCCATTCTTTCATGGGAGATGGGTGCCATGCCACTATTGGTTGTTTGTCTGCAATGAAACTGATTTTATAGCATATTGCTGAGAGTCTGAAGCCACCTGCATGCCAGAGTGGGTAAGGATCACTGTTTCATTACCTAAGGACATTAATGAACACACAGTTGACAATTGGCATGGTAATTTGTGCCACAGTTTGAGCCTATGTTTCCTGGGCCTCTGGACTACTGTAAAATCAAACTCTATTAATCTAGCATTACCATTTCAATCTGGTTAATTATCAGTTGATGAATATCCCATCAAACACTCCCTGGACAGGCATCTCTCTACATTGACTTAATTATGAATTCTATTTCACAATATGACTGGAATTTGCTCTGTCTCCCTGCAGGCTCCTAAGGATCTGCTTGAAAAGCATTACTGCGAGCTTTCAGACAAACCTTTCTACCCCAAGTTGATCAAGTACATGAGTTCAGGACCTGTCGTTGCCATGGTGAGTGAGCAGAAGAGATCTATGTCTCTGAGCACCTGGTTAAAAAGTTTTTTGTTGAATTCAGACAAGGAGGACCTGGATACTGTGCCTTTCGTAGACTTGGGCTGAGTCAACATGTGCTCCCAGGCAATGTTTGAGCATTGCCGGCATGAATCTCATGGGGGATGTCTGGCAAGTGATGTGTGTGGGGTCTGAAGCTGATAGAACGGTGAATAGAAATCTGAACAGTCTTGGGGTGGAGGTGGAGTTGGCAACGTGTTTGAGGGAAGTGAGCTAAATGAGGTTTTTGATGTTTGTGGGTTTTGAGAGGAACTGTGGATGGTCTGGATTGTGTAACCTCCAGTTAGCGATGGTAAATGGTTGGGTGGGAGGGGGATGGGATGCAGGGTTGATGCAGGATCGTTGGGCTGAATGGCCTCTTTCTGCACTGTATGGCTTCTGTGATACTTGTTTGTATTCTCCTTACAGGTGTGGGAGGGCCTGAACATGGTGAAAACTGGTAGAGTGATGCTGGGTGAGACCAATCCAGCAGATTCCAAGCCTGGCACCATTCGTGGTGATTTCTGTATTCAGGTTGGCAGGTGAGTACACTTGGAGTTGGGGAAAGTTGGCACTGTTGTGCATGCACAGTCTGTTCTGGACTGTTAAAGGAAGATGCTGTGGTTCTGGCGGCTGGAAGAGAAGCCAGAGCAGGAAACACCCCCTTGTTATCCTCAGGGCATAAAATAAGGAGGTAATGTTGAACTGATGAATATTAGACTGCAGCTGGGGTATTGTGTGGAGCTGTGGGTACCACATTGGAAGCTTGTGAATGTTTTCGAACTACTGCAGATGTGATTTACTTGAATAGTTCCAGGAATGAGAAGTGTCAGTCATAGAGGAGTGAAGTAGTTGGGCCTGTTTCTCTTGGAGAGAACAAGACTAAGTGGGGATTGGAGAAGCTCCAAATCATGAGTGGGCTGCATAGATGAGGAGATACAAGACTTGATTGGCAAAAGAAGCCAGGGTGATGAGCTTTTTACTAAGCAAGTAGCTAGGGTTTGCAATGTACTTCCTAGAAGTGTTGGGGAGGCTGGTTTAATTGAGGCATTCAAGGGGTATTGGATAATTATTTGGGTAAAAAAACGTACAAAGGTATGGTGGACGGGGAGAAACAGATAAAGCAGGAGACTGACACCAGGTAATGATACTGATTTAAGCAGCTGGTGCAGACAATGTACCAAATGGCCTTCTGTGCAATAAAACTTCAGTGATTGAGGTTGTCAGGCTAACTTCTTCCCAATAACCTGATGCCTTACCTTGCTTGAAATTCCAGAATCTTGTACAAAAACTGCCTGGGGTTTAACAGTAAAACCAGAGTTAAATTTCTAACACTGCTCCATGTGAAAAATAAGTGGCATGTTGATGCAGTTAGAAGTCAAGTTTGAAACAAGTGAAGATCCTCCTTCTCACTGATTAGTGTTGTAAACTATGACAGAAATGACAGTGAAAATTCAATCCAACTTTGTTTCTAAATGTTTTTGTTGAAAGCAGAATAACTTTCCTGATACTCAAGTTGCAAAGACCATGTTGTGTGAGGACGGCTGTTGTAGTAACTGAACTCTCTTTCTGCAGGAACATCATCCATGGCAGTGACTCTGTAGAAAGTGCAAAGAAGGAGATTAGCCTTTGGTTCAAACCTGAGGAGCTGGTGGAGTACCAGAACTGTGCCCAAGACTGGATCTATGAGTGAACCATTCCAAAATTGCATGGACGCATCCTAATTAAATCATTCCAACTTGTCTTCGGAAGTTGATTTTTTTAAACTGATTTCATATCATGTCTTGGTCCTGAATGTAAAAGCAAGTAACAACAATAAACTAACTGTTTAAAAAAAAAACTTTCTTGAATGTGAGAGAGCTGGAGTTTGAATCTATTCGTTACTCTGTTGTTGCTTTACACTTGCAGCCTGGTCTGGTTGCTCAGGTGGATGCCGAAGGTCCTAGGAGTGTCTTCAATGGGGAATTTCTTGAATCTGAGCCAGTACTGTATGTAAGATAGGTGCTTTCTACCCAGTATTTTCTATGGAGTGCCTTTAACAGGCTGTGGGTGAGGAAAAGAGATCCTCAATCTGCATGGGATTGGTCACCTGCAGATGACCTTCCATGACTACTGCTGTCATCATGAAAAGTACTCTTCCAGGATGGCTCCAGTCCTTTTTTGAAGTCTAGCTAACTCCTGGGCTGTGACAATAAGACAATTAGGTGTTCAAATTCCCCACAAGACAAACTAGCTTAAAAGATTCCCCACAGCACCAATGGAAAAGGAAGCCACAAACATGTCTGAATAATGTGTCCCTGACCCCCTCCAGTTTCAATCCTTTAAAAGTAAGATTCATCTGGTTTCCCAAGAATACTGCTGTTTTGGGCTCAGTTCTAATCAGGTCTGGATATTCCCTGACACTCACTTCATAGGATTTCACCTTGTGTGGACTGGCTTGGCTGTTTCTTTTCAGGTTTAAATACGTCAATGAATTGCCTGGACTCCATTTATGCCTTTTGGGCACAAGATAAAAATAGCATTTATTAGCCATCAAAACTACCTCAGTGCAGTTAAACTCACAAATTAGAATCCTGGAATTGAAAATATGGAAGCTGACTAGGGTAAATGCTGAAGAGGATGTTTTACCTTCCATGGCACTGTCTAGGACCAGAGGCTATAGCCTCGGAATAAAAAGGCATAAAGACTGAGTTGAGTGTCTAAATTCAGTCACAGCAGATAAGAGGACAGCTATGAGGAGGAGGGGAGTCAATGCTGGATTGAGTGTATTGTACTTAAATATACACAGTATACAAAACAAGGTAAATGAGCTTGTAGTGCAATTGGCAATCAGCAGGTACAACGTTGTGGGTATCACAGATGTGGCTGCAAGGGGATCAGTGCTGGGAACTAAATATCCAAGGATACACAGCCACTCGAAATGACAGGTAGATGGGGCAGGGTTGCCTTGTTCATAAGAATTGATATTCCTTCAAGAGCAAGTGGTGATATCTGTATGGGTAGAGTTGAGCAACCACAAAGGGAAGATGATCCTGGTGGGAGTTGTGTACAGGCCTCCAAGCAGTAGTCAGGAAGCGGGGAAGAAAATAAATCAGGAAACAGAAAAGGCAAGTAAGAAAAGCACTAGTACAGCAATCATGCAGGAACTTCAATATGCAGGTGGACTGAGAAAATCAGGTTGGTAGCAGATTTCAAGAAAAGGAATTTGTCTTATGTCTGCAAGATGGTTTTTTGGAGCAGCTTGTGGTAGACCCCAGTAGGGAACATGCAATTCTAGATCTGGCGATGTGTAATGAGGCAGATGTGATTAGGGAGGTTCAGGTTAAGGAAGCCCTAGGGACCAGTGACCATAATATGATCGAATTCACCCTGCAGTTTGAAAGAATAAGCTGCAATCAGATGTAATGGTATTAAAAACGAGTAAAGGTAACTACAAAGACATGAGGGAGGAGCTGGCCTGAGTTGATTGGAAGGGGAGCCTAGCAGGGAAGACAGTGGGGCAGCAATGGCGGGAGTTTCTAGGGGTAATTCAGGAGCACAGCAGAAATACATCCCAAGGAAGAAACAAACAAAGGGGAGGACGAGGGAACCGTGGCTGACGAGGGAAGAAGAAAAGCAAACAATGTGGTGAAGAGCAGTGGGAACCCTTTAAAAACCAGCAGAGGACGCCTAAAAAAATCAATAAGGCGGTAGAAGAAGAAATAGGAGGGTAATTGAGCTAGAAATATAATAGAAGATTGCCAGACGTTTTTTAGATGTACGAGAAAAGGTAAGAAGGGACATTGAACTGCTGGAAATTGAGGCTGGAGAAGCAATAATTGGAAGAAAAAGAAAATGGCAGGGGAACTGAATAGATACTTTTCATAGTTCTCACAGTGGAAGATATCAGCATACCAGAACTTCAAAGACAGTCGGGAAGCAGGGGTCAGTGTGGTGGCTATCACTAAGGAGAAGGTACAAAAACAAAGTTGCTGGAAAAGCCCAGCAGGTCTGGCAGCATCTGTGGAGGAGAAAACAGAGTTAACGTTTCGGGTTCGGTGACCCTTCCTCAGAACTGATGGTGGGTGGGAAAACGTCAGTTTGTGTGCAGAAAATAGGGAGGTGGGTGGGGTAGTGAGTAAACGATAGGATAGAGCCCAAAGAGAGAGAAAGACAGTTGGACAGACAAAGGAGTTGCTAACGATCAGGCGGGAGGGTGAGTAGTTGTTAATGGGGACTGTTAGTGACTAACAACAGGGGATG